GCAGGCAGGGCTCCGGTCAGGTCCCACTGGGTTTGGAAGGTTTCTCAGGGCTGAAGATGCCAGTTATCCTATAGCAGTTGCCATAAATGATGTAGGCAAAGATAGAGTTCTCTAGCACATGGTGCTCTCCAGTGGCTGCCGTTTGCCTTGTGTTGATGGGAGTCTGCCTCCCTGATTGCAGCCTCCCTTTTCCTGCCAGTTAACCCAGTGGCTTTGCCCCAGTTGGACCCACTCCGCAGTGCCTGGCTTGGTGGAGGACCTGTTTGTCAGCGTTGGTGGGGAGCCCGTTCACAGGGGTGCTGTGAAGCATCGAACCCCGGGATAGGCCATTTGCAGGCAGGAAAGCACCCATGGCAGCTGAACATGTGGATGCAGGGATGGGTGCTCGTCCGGGTATCCCACACAGCAGCACCCTTAATCAGAGGGGAAGCAGGGGAGCCCTGCATGCCTGGGGAGCACAGCACTAGGCTCTGGCTATGGCAGGGTCAGAAGCTCTTGGCTCTCACCCAGCCTCCATCCTAAGCTTGCTGGGCAACTTTGGTTGAGTTTCTTCACACCGCTGCGGCTGAGCTCCTTCCCTATCGGAGCGGGTGAATCTCCTCCGAGCCTATTGGGAAAGTGCATCCGAAGCAGCCGGTTTTCCAGGAGGAGCCGGGTGTGGGTGGCCGCAGCGGACGTGCCTGTGGATGCAGGGGCGACAGGAAGGGAGATTCCTGCACAAGACGTCACCTCTTTGGGTCTCAGTTTTGGGTGAGACATCAAGCGTCCCTAGAGCCACTGTGTGTGGGGCAGGCAGGGCAGGTCGGGTGAAGCTGCCACCTCCAGCCCCAGGAGGGGGAGATGGTTGGTGCTCTGCAGCATCACAGCTGGGTTATTGGCTTAGTGGTGAGAGTCCCTGCATGGCTTTTGTTTGTCCAAGAGGGTATTTGGTGTGTCAGGAGCACATGGGCCTTCTCCTACTACAGGGCAGAAGGATGCTGTTCCTGCAGTGCCCAGACACAGCATCCCTGCATGCAGGGTAATCAGAGCTGGTAGTGCAGGGATGCTCGTGGTGTGGGGATGCGCAGGCTGGATGTTGAGGGGTGCTGTGGCTGTCTATGCGGGGATGCTCATGGCGCAGGGACACTCAGGCTGGACATTGAGGGATGCTCGTGATGCAGGGATGCTGTGGCTGGCAGTGCGGGGATGCTCATGGCGCAGGGACACTCAGGCTGGACATTGAGGGATGCTCGTGATGCAGGGATGCTCAGACCTGCAGAGCGGGGAGGCTCAAGGCATGGGGATACTTGCAGCCAGCACTGTAGGGATGCCATGGGAAGACAAGGGGAAGGGATGATGGTCTGTGACAGAGGCCCAGCAGAGAGATGGGACTGGCAAGGAGGTGTCTCCAGTTACCAGTCTGTGTTCTCCACAGAGGCTTGCAGTGGAAGAGCCCAGGCCACAGGGATGGGGCAAAACCGGGGGGGTCACAGCTAAAGCAGCACTTTCTGGAGCCTGAGTCCCCCTGTGGGAGCCAGGGCAGGGGTCTCCAAGGGGTGCTTTGTGGGTGGACACAGCCGAATCCAGGTGAGCGCACGTGGCTCCTTCCTGGCCCAGCTCTGCGGGGGGATCGTGTCCGTTTCCAGCCCCTCAGGGAGAAGCCCCTGGGGCTGAGCTGTGCAGTGAGGGGCAGGGGTGATGCTGATGCCGTACCCGCTGCGCTGGCAGGGCTGGGCAGGGGCACGCCTGGCTCCATGCAGCCGGTACAGCCGGCGCCGGGCGAGCGCCCAAGGGGGTAAATAGGGGTTGGTGCTGGGCTGGGTGCCAGCGGCACGGGTGAGGAGCCTGCCCTGGCCGGCGGCTCCACGGGTGCCCCCTGCATCCCATGATGAGCTCAGCCCAGCGGGCAGCACAACAGGGGGTGCAGCCTGGACCCATGGGGAAACTGAGGCACAGGGCACAGCACAGGGGCTGGTTGGGGATGTGCCATGCGGGGCTGCTCCGTCCTGGGTCCTCCACCACTGAGGATCCAAATGGCCATGGGCTGGCACTTTGCCGTGGTTCAGTTCTGGGCTCCTCAGTGCAAGAGAGACTTTGAGGTGATGGAGCAGGGCCAGAGAAGGGAACAGAGCTGGAGCAGGGCCTGGAGCCCAAGTGTGATGGGGAAAGGCTGAGGGACCGGGGGGGTTCAGTGTGGAGAAGGCTCAGGGGGGATCTGATGGTTCCCTACAACTGCCTGACAGGAGGATGGAGCCAGGAGGGGCTGGGCTCTGCTCCCAAGGAACAAGGGATGGGACAAGAGGAACCGGCCTCAAGCTGCACCAGGGCAGGTTTAGATGGAGCTGAGAACAATTCCTTCCCCAGAGGGTGCTCAAGGCATTGGAACAGGGCAGGGCTGCAGTCACCATCCCTGCAAGTGTTCACACACCGTGGAGACGAGGCCTCAGTGCCGTGGGTCAGGGGTGGCCTCGGCAGCGCTGGGAAGGGTTGGACTGGCTGAGCCTAAAGGGCTTTCCCATCCCGGTTCCTCCTTGACCCCATGGCCGAGGGTGCAGTCCCGCTGGCGGCCGCGCTGCCTTCCCCAGCCCCGCACACGTGTGAGCGGTTGGGCTCTTGGCAGCCCCGCACTGCACAGAAGCTCTCTGCCTCCCTCGAGGCCTCGCTCGCTGCCGAGCCTCATCCTGCCTGGGCAGGCGCTGGAGCAGGGATGGAAGCAGGATGGGAGCCCGATGGGAGCAGGATGGGAGCCCGATGGGACCCCTGGGAGGGGGCATGTTGGGGACCCCGCAGCTGGAGTTAACCCTTGGGGTTCCGCACCCCTGGAACCATCCCCTGCAAGGGCTTTTTTGCATTTTGGCACCAAATCCGTGATTTCCTGTGTTCGTCTGCCTGGGATGTGAATGTGATCCTGGCAGGGAGCGGGGTTTCGTGGGTCGTGCCCATGGATGCTCCCAGCCTGCTGCAAACACACAGGAGGCGATGATGTGCCTGGGATGGGAAGGGTCTGGATCAGCCCCAACCCTGCAGCCCTTTCCCTGCCTGGCTTTAGGGTGCATCTCCAACCCAGTCTGGGAGGGCTGTGGGATTGGGAATGCTGCCCCACAAAACATCTGGGTGAGGAAGGCCACGGAGCCTGGAGCTGCCAGGACACCAACAGGACGAGAAGGGGCTGAATTGGGGAGAGAAATGGGGGAAGTGGTCAAAAGGAGCACATGGGTGGAAAGAGAGAGAGATGCAGGGAAGCCCTTCCCCTTCCCACGGGTTTGTTCCCAGTTTGTAGCTGGGGATGAACCCTTTCTGCTTTTTGGGACCTGCTGCTTCCCCATCCACCCATGCTGTCCATGGTCCCCATGTCCTGCCCTTGCTGGGCAGCCGGAGCAGGGAACTAACCTGAGGAATGCTGCTTGGAAAGAGGGGCAAAGACATGGACCCTGCTGTGCAGATGCTGACAGCTGCCTCCTGGGGCTGGGGAGCCGACAGGGACAGCGCCTGTGTCCAGGGGCATCCACTGCATCCCAGCCCTGCTTACTGGACCCCACCACCCACCCACCCCAGTGCCATTGCAGGAGGTGGTTCGGGATGGGATTTAGGGAGAGCTTGTGCTATTCAAATAGTGGGCATTGCTCAACTCCAGAGCCAGCCTGGGGGGGCTGTGGGATGTTTCAGCCTCTTTCGGATGTGCACAGTGGGAATATCCATCCTCCTAGCACAATGCAGGCTCTGCCCCTCTGCGGTGGGTAAGGACCTCTCTTCCTCCTCCTCCTCCTCCTCCTCCTCATCCCTGTTTCCCAGCTCAGGCAGTTTCCAGCTGATGGGAGCAGTCCCACAATGGGATGTGGCTTTGGTGGAGCTGCTGGGTGCCGCTCTGGAAGGGGTAATTAGGGTGATGCCATCCTGATCCCCTCAGCCGTGGTGAGCAGTCACGAGTCCCTCACCGGCAGCCACTCCAAGCCCATTCGGCCCTAATGAGGCTGTTTACAAAACAGCCGGGATTGCAGTGAGGAACACACCATTCCCTGGTTTCCTTTAATTACCATTTGCATGAGGAATGGGGCCGGCCCCCTTCTCAACCCTGCTTTCCAGCGCAGAGTATGGCTCTGTATGGGATCTGCCATACGAGGTGGGTAGAGAGCACTGGAGAGGAGGAGAAGAGAGAGCTGCAGATCCCTGAGGATCTGTGTCCGGCTGCAAGGAAAGGGACTCCTTCCCCAGGACCCCACTCTGTTTTAGTGGGGTTGGAGCACTCCAAGCCTGGCTCTCAGGCTCTGATTTTCCCTAGGAAACAGCAAAGGAACTTTTCAAAGCATTTAATCCTCCCCGGCCCGGCCATGGGGCAGAGGAGGAGCGGCGGCATTCCGTGCCCCCCGCATCCCTTCCCCTTTCTTTCCCTCTTGACTTGGCGGATGAATTCCAGGGATGTTAATCCGTTCGCAACCCCTCGGTGGAGAATGAAACCTCCTCTCCGTGTGGGAGGAAGGAATTCATTCGAATTAATTGCGGGAAGGAGCAGTCGGGGGAGTGTGTGAGGCTGTGTGGGGTGAGCATCCTCAGTGGTCCCCAATGGGGGGGGGACACAGGGATACCCGGGGTGGCACAATCCTCACATTCACCAAGGCTTCAGCCATAAAATGCCAGCCATGTGCTCTGTGGGCCAGGCCTTGGCAGCAGTGATGGGCACAGGGAGCGAGTGGGGAGCGGAATGGCCCCACTCAGCAGTTTTGGGGTGTTTCTGCCTATAAAAGGGAGGGAAGCACGGTCCCACCGAGCAGGGGTGACAGGAGCTGCGGGGTCCGGGCACAGAGATGGAGCAGGAAGGATGAAGGAGGAAAGGGTCTGAGCTTGGTCTGGGTCAGCCCATTGAGGGTTCGTGGATGTGAAGATGCAGTGAGAGGAGGGCAGAGGCTGCCGGGATGGGGCAGGCGCTGTTCTGTGCACCGGGAGGTCGGTGCGGCTGCGGGATGGGGTCACAGGGGGTGCTGGGGGCTGCCTCCTGCCCTCACCTTCACCTCTTGTCTCTGCAGAGCTGCTGGGGTCTGCCAAGCGCCTCAATGTGAACTACCAGGATGCAGACGGGTGAGTGCTCCCCTGGTTGGGTGCTGGGTGCTGCTGCTGGCACTGGGGGGGGGCTTGTTCTTCCCTGTATCCAGGTGGTTCTGCAGCTCTGGGTATCAAAGCTGCTGAGGCACAGGGGGCACAGCAGCATCCCAAAGGCAGGGCAAGCCCCATAAAGGCAGATGCAGCGCCTGTTGGAGCGAAGGGCTGTGCTCCATCCATCCTGCAAAACAAACCTCTTCGTGTCCCCTTCCATAGGGATGGGGGTGAAAAGGGATTGCAGGGTGTCCAGCCGGTGACCCATGTCTTCAGTGCTGGTTGAAGCAGTGCCTGCATCTGCTTGTGCCTGTGTTTAATACCCCAAGAGCAAAATCCCTTCATCTGGGCAGGGGGTTAGAGGGGGACAAGCTGAGGTTGCCAAGTGACCACAGCATATTTGTGGAGCTCATCACTTCCAGAACCCAAGCACTTAATAAGATGGGTACTGAGAGGTAAAGAAACCACAAAGGCCCGTAAAATAAATCAGTGTGGTGTTCTCATTGGATTAGCTCTGACCTGTGAGCTGTTAGCATTGGTTTATGTGCTGCTGTTGTACCTAATTCCAACAGGTTTTCTGTTTGAGGACTCTGGAGGAGGTGTCCGTGATGAGCCCTGAAGGGCAGCGAGGGGTTGAGAATGTGCAGGATGGTTCTGTCTGAAAATAGCCCTGTGCAAATGGAGCTTAATAGGGGGGAAATGTAATAATAGAGCAATGATCTGGTTGTGATAGGGCACAGGGCTCATGGGAACAAGGGCAGAGGGTTCTGCATCACAGAGGGCATTAACAGCATGGGCAGCGCATGGGATGCAGGGAGGTGAGCGCTGTGCGTGGGAGAGCCACAGGGATGATGGTGTCCTTGGTGTCACCTTGCTTGTGGGTTAGAGATGAGGGGACAGGGGAGCGTGGGCAGAGCTGGCCCCACAGGGATCCCTGCAGGGTTGGCTGGGGGTGTTTTGTACCTCCCACAGCCTCGCTTCAAGGCAGAGCTCAGGGACACGGTGGCTGCGGTGAAGGAAGGAGCATCCCTGCTGGGGTTCGCATCCCTCCTGCGTCACCCATAGGGATGTGGGGATGCTCTGGGACCATGGATCAGGAGGAGAGAGCCATGGTAGCTGAGCTGTGTCCCCAGCACAGGGATGAGTGCATTGGATTCCCAGGCTGGCTCTGCCTGGAAGCCCCTCACACCCTTTGGAGCAGTGCACAGGCTAATCCCCAGTGGCGCAGGGACCCTTTGCTTGGCCATGGCCCTTCACGGGCAGACAGGCCCCTTTCACAGCCCCAAGACACAGGGCTCTTTCATTGCCAGCGGCCTCCCACACTGTGCCATGGGCTCCCGGCATCCCTGCTGGCATGGCGAGGGAGCAGCAGTGCCTGCTGTGTTTGCTGGGTGCTGTGAGCAGTGTGGCTGCGCTGCAGAGAGGGGAGATGCATCTCCATCCATCCTGCCTGTCTGGGGGCTGAGGGACCCCTCTTGCTGTGGTATCAGGGTGCACAAGGTCCCTGCATCCCTCGCTGAGCCCTGGAGTGTGGACAGCACGAAGGGATGTATCTCTGCTTTGCTATGGGGAAACCAAGGCACCGGGAGCAGGGAATCAAGAGGGATGTGGCCATGACCAGGCAGTAACCAGCCCCGTGTCCCTGTGCAGGCAGGGGCTATAGGGACAGCACAGTGGGGATGGAGCTGGGCTGAGCCCTGCCTTGTGTCACAGGTTCTCAGCACTGCACCACGCAGCCCTGGGCGGCAGCCTGGACCTCATCTCCCTGCTGCTGGAGGCGCAGGCCACCGTCGACATCAAGGACAGCAATGGTAAGAGGTGACCCCGACCCCCTGGCCCAGCCCCATGGCCCCAGGACACCCCGAGCAGGGCTGGGGGCTGCATCCATCCCTGCTGAGCCCCATTTCCTGCAGGGATGCGGCCCCTGCACTACGCAGCCTGGCAGGGGCGCGTGGAGCCCGTGCGGGTGCTGCTGCGAGCCGCTGCCTCCGTCAACATGGCCTCGCTGGACGGGCAGATCCCGCTGCACCTCTCGGCACAGTACGGCCACTACGAGGTGGTAAGTGAGAGCCCAGCACCCCACACACCCTCTGGGGTGACCCCCATCATGCAAGGGGCGAGCCCCATAGCGTGGGATGATGCTGAGCTCCTGTCCCACGTTGCTCGCCGCAGTCGGAGATGCTGCTGCAGCACCAGTCCAACCCCTGCCTCATCAACAAGGCAAAGAAAACCCCCCTGGACCTGGCCTGCGAGTTCGGGCGGCTGAAGGTGAGTGCTGGGGGCTCTGCCCTGCACTGGGCACATCTCTGGAGCTCTTTGGCTCCTATGGGAGCAAAGCACTGGGTCTGGCTGTGCTTTCCCTCTGCCACAAGCCTCAGCGCCCAGCAGGCAGCATCTGCCTGGATAAGGCTGGATCCTGAACCTGGGAGCTGCAGGTTTTGTTCCTGAGCTCACACAGGGCAGCGTGGGGCTGGGAGAGGAGCCAGGAGTCCTCGCTCCCAGTTCCTGTTTAAGCTCAGATGGGCTTTGCTGGCTGGACCCACAAGCCATGAGCACCCAGCGGCAGGTCCTGGCATGGCTCGTGGGGACAGGGCCACCCCATGCTCTGGGGGACCCCAACCCAGCCAGCACCACACCACAGGGGTGGACTGGAGCTCATCCAGCCAGACTGTCCCATACCCCGCTGGGGAGGGGAGCAGGGGGAAATTTCCATCTTTGGAGTATCTATAATGTCTGCAGCTATAAACAGGGCAGTAAAAATAACTCCTCTGTGCCTCTGGGCTGCCCTGAGACGCTGAATGTCGCTCCGGGCTTGGAGAGACTGGAGCTTTTTAGGGCTTGGTCTGAAAAGCCCGATTATGGGAAGACTATTTCTGGTGGTTGTGACCTTTATGGCCTCTCACGACAGTGTGGCCATGCCAAGGACCAGCCAGCGCCAGCCGAGCCCCAGGGGATCAGAGGGATGGGGAGCAGAGGGCTGGCCCCAGGGATGAGCCCCATGCTGGGAGGGTGCAGGCGGGGGTACCTGCACCCCAGTGTTCAATCATTGCCTGTGTAGGTGGCCCAGCTGCTGCTGAACAGCCACTTGTGCGTCGCCCTCCTGGAGGGACAGTCCAAGGATGCCACTGACCCCAACTACACCACCCCCCTGCACTTGGCAGCCAAGAACGGGCACAAGGAGATCATCAGGTAACAGCGCCCGCCCAGCCTGGGCACTGCCCTGGCCTGCAGGAACCCATCATGGCTTCAGTCCTGCTTCCTCCCAGACCCACCTCGGTTCCTCAGCCCCAGAGCCTCGGCAGTGCAAGGGGTGGTTCCCATAGGGTCATAGAACAGTTAGGATGAGAAAGGACCTTAAGATCATCCAGTTCCAATCCGCTGCCATGGGCAGGGACACCTCACTCTAAACCATATTACCCAAGGCCTCGTCCAACCTGGCCTTGAACACCACCAGGGATGGAGCATTCACAACCTCCCTGGGCAACCCATTCCAGTGCCTCACTGCCCTCACAGTAAAGAACTTCCTTATATCCAATCTAAACTTCCCCTGTTTAAGTTTGATCCCATTACCCCTTGTCCTATCACTACAGTCCCTAATGAAGAGTCCCTCCCCAGCATCCCTATAGGCCCCCTTCAGATACTGGAAGGCTGCTATGAGGTCTCCACGCAGCTTCTCTTCTCCAGGCTGAACAGCCCCAACTTTCTCAGCCTGTCTCCATATCCTGCTCTTCACCCCTCTCCCTGCTTCCCACCAGGCAGCTGCTGAAGGCCGGGATCGAGATCAACAAGCAGACAAAGACGGGCACAGCCCTGCACGAGGCCGCGCTCTACGGCAAGACCGAGGTGGTGCGGCTGCTGCTGGAGGTGAGCGCGGTGCCGGCAGCCACCATCCCCTTCCCCTCGGCCCCTCCATCTCCCGGGGCTCCGGTGGCACACGTGGGGTCTGGCCATGACCACGGCCCCTCGTGGGCAGGGCGGTGTCGATGTGAACATCAGGAACACCTACAACCAGACGGCGCTGGACATCGTGAACCAGTTCACCACCTCGCACGCCAGCAAGGACATCAAGCAGCTGCTGAGAGGTGAGGTGGGGCCGGCACTGAGAGGGGCTTCTTCCCCATGGGGCTCCCAGTGTTCCTCCTGAGCACCCAAACCAGCCCGGCTGTGAGCCTCAGCATCCTGGTCCTGTGTGATACATGCCCCAGTCATCCCTATGGGCAGTGATCAGGGATTGTGTATTAATGTTTTCTTCTCTCCTCGCTCTTTGTTTTCTCCCCCTGCTTTCTCTTTCCTCCCTGTGCTCTGGCACCTTCTTTCTTCCCCCTGTCCCTTGCCTTCAGAGGCATCAGGAATCCTGAAGGTCCGAGCTTTGAAGGACTTTTGGAACCTCCACGACCCAACCGCTCTCAATGTCCGGGCAGGAGATGTCATCACAGTGAGTCTGCTCCCTGCTCCCTGTCCCCTTGCTCCAGCATAGCCCCAGGTACCAACCCCATCCCTCTCATCCCTGCGGCAGGTCCTGGAGCAGCATCCGGACGGGCGATGGAAGGGGCACATCCACGACTCTCAGAAAGGCACCGATCGGGTCGGGTACTTCCCCCCGTCCATCGCTGAAGTCATCAGCAAGAGAACAGGTCAGTGTCCACCCTACAGCCAGGCACAGCCCTCTGTGTGACACCCCCCCTGCACCTCCCATAGCACAGGTCCCCACAGCCCATGGAGGGGGGGGCAGAGAAGGACTGGGGTGGGTGCAGGGGCTGTGTTTGGGGTTGAGGCTCCCACCTCACACCTGTTTTGTCTTTGCCTGCAGGCATGGTTGTGCCCCGCGTGCCACCCGCACACCAGCGCCAGGGCCCCCCCGCGGCGCTCCCGGCCCCCCCCGGCGGCCTGCAGCACCTCCCCGACGAGGGTCCTCACCAGGCAGCCCCGAGCATCCCAGCCTATGGGCACCTCACCCTAACCCGGACGGCCCTGGGCCCTGACAGCTCAGGTCAGGGTGCAGCCGGGGACCTTCCCCTCTTCCCAGCCCTGCTCGCGCAGGGGGTCACGGGGGGATGCTCTCCTTCCACCTCCCACAACAGAGGGAGCAGGCGCATGGGAAGGGAGTGTAGGGGAGCCCATAGAGCAGCCCCTTCCCTCCTTGTGTCCCAGGCTGTGTCCCCGTGTCCATTTGTGTGTCCCCTGCCAGCCCTGGTCGCCCTGTCTGTGTTGTGTGTGCCGGGAGGGAGGAGGGACCGATGCATCGTCTGTGGCTGCAGGGGTCTCGTGGGAGGCTGGTTTTAGGGGTGTCACTGTGCTGGCACATGGGTCCCTGCTGGGACCTGCGTGCCCTGTGTGAGCCCTGACCCTGGGGCGCTGCTGATGGCTCCCTGGTGCCCCGAGCAGCAGGAGACAGGAACAGCGTGGGCAGCGAGGGCAGCATCGGCAGCATCCGCAGCGCCGGCAGCGGCCAGAGCACCGAGGGCACCAACGGGCAGAGCACCAGCATCCTCATCGAGAACGCCAGGGTAGGCACCAGTCCCTGCTCCCCCAGCCCTTTACTGGTTGGAGCTGTGCTCAATGTGGGGACCCAGCTCTGCTCATGAGGGTGCAGCAGGGCCTCCCTGTTCCATCCCTCCTCCTCTCCCCCAGCCGCTGCCCTCCACCGGTGATGACCTCCAGCAACACCACTTGGGATCAGAGCCACGCAATGGGCAGCTGACCCCCACAGCAGGTGAGGGGTGTCCCAGCTCCGTGGGGCCTTGGGCACAGCTCTGCCCCCAGCCCTGGGGGCTGCTCGCTGCTCAGGTACCCCCATGACAGCTCCCCTGTCTCCTCTGTGCCAGGGACCCAGAGCCACCAGCCCCCAGGCAGCTGCCCCCCTGGAGACAGGGTCTTCTCCCACCAGTTCTTGCGTCCTGAGCAGCTCCTCGAGGGGAAGGTAACTGAGGACCTGGTGTGCTGGGTGTGAGGGCCACAGTTGGGGGCCTCAGCCCAGTTCTCACTGCACTGGGGACACAGGGGATGGGTCTGGAGCACACTGGGGGTACCCAAGGAGCTCTTTCCTGGAGCACCCAGGTCCTTCCAGCCCCTGCATCATGGGCTGTCCTTTGCCCTGTCCTCTCCCCAGGATGCAGAAGCCATTTACAACTGGCTGAGCGAGTTCCAGCTGGAATCCTACACCGCCAACTTCCTCAACGCCGGCTACGATGTCCCCACCATCAGCCGCATGACCCCAGAGGTAAGTGGGCTCCTTCCCCACCTCCCAGGCTGCTGCACTGGGTACCACTGCTGACCGCTGCCCTGCTCTGCTCGCGGTAGGATCTCACCGCCATCGGCGTCACCAAGCCAGGCCACAGGAAGAAGATCTCCACCGAGATCGGGCAGCTCAGCATCACCGAGTGGCTGCCCAACTACATCCCGGTGAGTCATAGGATCATAGAATGGTTTGGGTTGGAAAGGACCTCAAGATCATCAAGTTCCAACCCCCTGCCATGGGCAGGGACACCTCGCTCTAAAAAGTCCTGGTGCCGGGGCTTGGGTCCAGCACCCTCTTGTCCCAGGTCTTGGAGCGCTTTTACCCCAGCACAGGAGTGGGGTCTGTAAGTACACAGAGGCTGTGTTAATGCAATTAGACCCTAATGCAGTCTCCAGGTCAAGGCATGGATGGAGCTGCCCATGCCTCTGCTCAGGGCAGTGTCTCTGTGCTCTTCCCCAGGCTGACCTGATGGACTGGCTGAGCGCCATCGGGCTGCCGCAGTACCACAAGAAGCTGGTGAACAATGGTTACGACTCCATCACCATCGTCACGGACCTGACGTGGGAGGATCTGCAGGAGATCGGCATCAACAAGCTGGGTGAGTCCCTGCCGCCGTGCCCAGGGCAGCCAAGCTTCCCACCCAGCCCCATTCTTCCTTGGGGTGGGAGGTGCAGGCCTGTCCTGAGCACTAGGAAAGGGCAGTCCTTGGCTGTCCCTAAGGACTCCCTTGGCAGGCTGGAGCCATGGGGACACTGGCCGTAGTTTGTCTCCTCCCAAAGGCAGTGTTTGGATAACCCGGAGGCCGTTGCCCCTGTTTGTGGTGTGACCATCACAGAATCAATCCCAGAATCCCAAGGGTTCGAAAGGACCTCAAGAGATCATCTGGTCCAACCCCCCTGCAAGAGCAGGGTAACCTAGAGTACATCACACAGGAACTTGTCCAGGCGGGCCTTGAATATCTCCAATGTGGGAGACTCCACAACCCCCCTGGGCAACCTGTTCCAGTGCTCTGTCACTCTCACAGTAAAGTTCTTCCTGATGTTAACGTGGAACCTTCCATGCTCCAGTTTACACCCATTGCCCCTTGTCCTAGCACTGGATATCACTGAAAAAAGCCTAGCTCCATCATCCATGATGATGACCGTGACTCCTCTTGGCCAGGAAACAAAGGCCACGGGGGCCAGAACCGACCCAAAACCCCTTTCCCCTTGCAACCTCCCCGCAGGCCACCAGAAGAAGATCATGCTGGCCGTCAAGAAGCTCCGAGACCTGCGCAAAAGCCTCAACCAAGCAGAAGCGACCCTGGCAAGGCGCAAAGTGCCCGGTGCCCTGGACATCGTCACCATCGAGTCACTGGAGAACGGCGAGTGCCAGTCCCCGCACACCCCCAAAATGACGACGTTCCAGGACAGCGAGCTGAGCTACGAGCTGCAGACAGCCATGTCCAACAGCTGCCACGACACCCTCGGCATCAAGAGCAGCCAGGGCATGTCCCGGAGCCAGGAGAGCATCGGGGTGCGCTCGCGGGGCTCGGGGCACTCTCAGGACCATGTCCTGTCCCGGCACCTCTCCAGCCCCTCGCAGGAGAGCCTGGGCAGCGGTGAGAGCAGCAGCAGCGGCAGCGGGCAGTCCTGCGCACCCCCCCGCAGCAAGGAGAGCCCGGCCAGTCCTGAGCCCTATGGGAAGCTCGTCCCCCCCGAGGGGCTCAATGGCTTTGCCAATGGTGGCGGGGGCAGCCCGCTCAAGGAGAGGAACCTGCCCGAGGGCACGGAGCAGTTCTCCCGGCCGGCGGCTCAGAAAGGCACCGGGACACCGGCGGTCACCCCGTGTACTCCTCCCCAGACACCCAGCAAGGCGGCAGCCCCATATGTCTTCATGTACCCACACGTCTCATTGAAGTCCCCAGCGGTCCCTTCCCTCCTTGGAGCGGAGCAGCCCAAGACCCTGGTGCATCCCTTCTCCTCGGGACAGAAGAGCAGCCTGCAGACATCAGCCCAAAAAGCCTTCTCCTACCTGCACACCCAGTGTGGCCCCACGGAGCCGCCCTCCACGTGTCCCACCATAGGGGCAGCCCCCGGGGCTTGGCCGCACGGGGAGCAGCACAACGGGGGCGAAGGCTTCAAGCACAAGAAGCGCTCGCAGAGCCTGAACCGCTACGCGCTGTCGGACGGGGAGCACGAGGAGGAGGACGGGGCTCCCAGCAGCACGCTGGGCTCCTACGCCACCCTGACGCGGCGGCCGGGGCGCAGCCAGATGCCCCGTTCCTATGCGCAGGCAGAGAGCAAGGTGACCCGGAGCCAGTCCTTCGCCATCCGGGCCAAGCGCAAGGGTCCCCCCCCGCCGCCTCCCAAGCGCCTCAGCTCCGTGTCCAGCGCCCTCGCAGACAGCGAGCAGCCCCCCGAGCCCACGGCCCCCCAGGATGTGCCTGATGCGGGGGACAGCGGCCGCAGCAGGACAGTGAAGAGCCTGGCGGCTGCGCTGGAGGGGACACCAAGTCCACCCAAGCCCCTCCTGGCCCCGAAGCCGCTGCATGTGGCTCCGGACTGCGTCCCCAGGGGGGATGTGGATGGTGAGTCCCATAACGGCGGTGACAGCAGCAGCACCGTGCTTTCCGATGCTGGCAGGGACCCCTTTGAGAGCAGCAAGCCACGGAGACGGACATTCAGCGAGCCCAGCGCTCCCATGACGGAGGTGGTCGCACAGGGAGGGCGGGAGGACGCCTGCTCGGATACAGAGGAGGAGGCCAAGCCAGAGGTGTCCTCCTCATCCTCCCAGAACAGCTCCAGCGAGTGCATCCCCTTTGCAGAGGAAGGCAACTTGACCATCAAACAGCGGCCAAAGCCCACCGGGCACCCCAAGGCTGATGCAGCCGTGCTGGACACAGAGCCCGGCTCCCAGCCGGCCGAGTCCCCCTGCTCCGCTGGGAAGGAGCCGGTGGTGGCCCCCGCTGTCACCAAGGAGCCGCCGGTGCTGGAGTTCAACCTCACCGAGTCGGACACGGTGAAGCGCCGGCCCCGGTTCCGGGAGCGGGAGCCGCTGCAGGCGGTGCTGAAGGCATTCAGTATGGCCGGGCAGGCCGAGGCACCCGCCAGCCCCAGTGTGCCCCAGTATGCCCAGGCACAGGCAGTGAGCATCGCCGGTCCCACCGCGCCGGCACCGCGGGCTGGGCTGGCTGGGGATGCGTTTGATGATGACAGCGTGGAGTTCAGGATTGCTGAGATAGAGAAAAGCATCTTGTCTCTGGAGAAGGGGATCAAGAAGGCACCGAGCCCCACCAAAGCCTCCAGCCCCATGGAGCTGCTCGGCACTGCTGTGGTGAGGACGCCTGCTTCAGGTATGTGGGCTGTGAGAGGTGCGAGTGGGACAGGATGCTTCCTCCTGCATTGGCACAGGAGGTGAGGAGGATGTGTGCCATCACACACCATGGGTCCCCTTCCTTTGCAGACGTCCCTGCCAAGCACACCTCGGTAGCATCCACCAAGCTCGTGTTCTCCGGGCCCAAGACCATCTACCAGCAGGTCCTGCAGCCCTCCCGCCACGCCGTGGCTCCTTGGGTGGGCACTGAGGCAGTGCCGGATGTGATCGGGTCCCTGGCCGGTGCCGGGGCGCTGGAGGCAGGCAGCAAAGTGTCGGTGAAGCCATCGGCATCAGCCCCGGGGCAGCTGGCGCAGCAGCGGCTGGAGCAGACCAACTGCACCCTGGCTGCTGCGCTGCAGGCGGCAGAGAAGAAGATCACAAAGGAGGAGGTGGAGAGGTGAGGGAGATGCTGGGGATGGGCCCTCGAGGGGGATTGGGAAGCCCCCAGTGAGGGCAAAGTGAAGGGACGTACATGTACAGGGGATGTACATGTACAAGGGATGTACCATCGGGCACATGGGAAGGCCCTAGGGATAGCAAGTGAAGGGATGTAGATGTATAAGGGATGTACCATCGGGTCCATGCGAAGTCCCTGGGGATGGCAGGTGAAGGATGTACAAGGGATGTACCATCAGGTCCATGGGGAATCCCTAGGGATAGCAGGTGAAGGATGTACATGTACAAGGGATGTACCATTGGGTCCATGGGAAGTCCCTAGAGATAGCAGGTGAAGGGATGTAGATGTATAAGGGATGTACCATCGGGTCCATGCGAAGTCCCTGGGGATGGCAGGTGAAGGATGTACAAGGGATGTACCATTGGGTCCATGGGAAGACCCTGGGGATGGCAGGTGAAGGGACGTACAAGGGATGTACCATCAGGTCCATGGGGAATCCCTAGGGATAGCAGGTGAAGGGATGTACATATACAAGGGATGTACCATTGGGTCCATGGCAAGGCCGTGGGGATGGCAGATGAACGATGTACAAGGGATGTACCATCGGGTCCATGGGAAGGCCCTGGGGATGGCAGGTGAAGGATGTACAAGGGATGTACCATTGGGTCCATGGCAAGGCCGTGGGGATGGCAGATGAAGGGATGGACAAGGGATGTACCATCAGGTCCAGTATGGCCAACCCTTCCCCATCAAGCACCCAAAGCCTTTGGGCTGTGTTTTGACCTCTCTCCCTTTCCTCCCCAGCCACCCCGCTGCCGTGCACTCAGCCAAGAACATCCTGGAAGACATCAGCAACATGTTTGATGACCTGGCCGACCAGCTGGATGCGATGCTGGACTGAGGCTCCCTCCTTCCCCTCCCTGCCTCCGCCTGCTCCCTTGTGAATGGGAAGAGCGGCTCCAGCACTGAGGTGCCTCCAGGCCTCTCCAGCCGCCTCATCCCCGCTCTTTGCACTGCGCTGGGAACGCTGCTGCCCCTCCTTGCTCGCCCCTGGCTCCGTGTCACACGTGTGCCAGCGCGGCTGCGGGCTCGCTTCCGAGGGGGTCAGGCATTTCCCACCAGACTGGCAGTGGGAGGAGAGCCCCGGGGGGCTGCACACGGGGTCCACAAGGGACCTTTCTGTTTCCCCGCTGCATTGTTGAGTCCTGCCTCTTCTTATTTATCCCCTGCCAACAATGTGTCAGAGGAGAAACCTCCCCGGGCAGCCAGCACTGGGCTGGCTGTTCCCTGAGCAGATCCCACCCCGGCAGGGCCTGACAGCAGCTCAAAGGGAGACGGGGTTTGTCGCAGTTTGGCAGCTCACGGAGTGAGAAGGAACCTTTTCTGCTTTGCTGCTTTTCCAAACGCATCAGCGTCAGGCAGCGTGTAATCCAAGGGGATGGGAATCCCTCCTGCGGGACCCTCGCAGCCCTCGAGCATGGGAAGCAGTGGGTGCTCCACCACGGCCCTGCTGGACGTGGAGTTCTGGCTGCCCCTTGCCCAGAGTGAGGAGGATGGTGATGGCAGCGCCGAAGGCTTGTGCTTTTGGATCATGCTGCTAAAGGGAGCTGCCCTCTGCACACTGTGCCTATGAAACCAGCACCCTGGTGCTCCCAGGGCGAAGTAGCAGCGTGGTCAGTGCTTTTTTCCCCTCTCTATCCCCTATTTGGGGAGGAATCGGTCCCTTTTCCCACTGCCCTCCCTGCTGGCACTAACTCCACTGGGAGCATTGTGGAACAGGAGCAGTGTTTGGGACCTTCCTCACAGCAGGAGAGGTGACCCCATGGGCACCGGGTGCATTGAGCTCAGCAGCTACCACAGGATGTGGTCATGGAGCAGCAGCAGTAGCTCCCTGCATCCAAGCGGGAGGAACGGCGGCATCACTGGAAGACGGATTTCTCCAGCGGGATCTGTTCAGTAGTGCATGTCTAAATATGTCCAAGAGCCCTGAACTTGGCTTGCGCTCGGCATGCCAAGCAAGTGAAAGCATCCGAGCACCAGAAGGGAAGCTGAGATTGTACTCAAGTGCCATTTGCTACAGAAATTCCTGACAAAGGGAAAAGAATAATCTACATATCCCCCTTCTTTTAAACTGATCACTGACAAAACCAAACTGGAATGGGAGAAGGCGGCTCAAGAGGCAGTTGCTTCCCAATCCTTTTGGGAGTTGAGACTGCATTGGAGAACTGTGCAGCCCCTTGTCCCCTTGCAGAGAGCACAGCCTGCCTGGACATCCCTGAGGGGTTTAATTGCTGGAAAGCAGGAGCAAGGATAAAAAATTCCCTTTGGAAAAACAGAAACCCTCTCGTTGGCTGGGGCTTGAGGTCAGTTGGAGGCGGATGGGACCGCGCTCTCCTGGCTAGTTGGTTGCTCTGATCGATGTATTTAAATGCCCGTATGTGACAGGCGAGTGCTACACCACAGACCCAACTGGTTGTAAACCAGTACAACCAGTGGCACTTTATGAGAAGGTTTGTGGAAACCTTTTGAAACTGATTTTTACTCGAGTCAACCTGGGACAAGCCCGGTTCTTTCTTTTTCCAGTGTTGATAAACTGTAAATGTTCGTGGGGTTTTTTTTTCTAAAGGCCAATGTATATATTTTAAATGTGATTTATTCTATATATTTACTAACCAGAACTGCAAGCCTTTGGCCTCTAGGGTCAGGGATAAGAGGACACTGGGGTGGAGCTGTCGCTGTCTGAGCCACCTGAGGGCAGCACCACGCTGCTCTCGTTGTCAATAAGGGAATCGAACCATTTGATTTGTGCAGAATGCCTATTTTTGAAGCGCTAGATCTCTATTTTGAAGCTACTGTACGGTGTGTAAGTTATGTACACTGCAAGTGGGACTGACTGACCCCAGCTGCTCCGTGCAGCAAGGCAGTGAGGGGAAAAAATAGCCCGTGTAATCACCAGACTGACAACAGATTCTAAACCATCTGCTCTGTTTGTGTTCATCATGTGTTTTGTTTTCCACTAACATGCAGTAAGGTTAAATGCTATTAAACAGTGGGGCATATTTTACCCTTTTGATAGCTCTGCCTAGTTGTGTCCTTCCTGTCAAATCACACCTTACTCTGAAGTTCATTAAGGATCAGCTTCATCCTGACCTTGGAGACCTTAAGACTGGGGTTTCCTCTGATAATGTCCCCTGGTGAGAGTCCCACTGTTACCTCTAGCAAGGTTAGTGTTCAGCGGGGGTCTTACCACCATGGTGAGAGTGCAGGGACCAACATGACCTTCCCCTGCCCTGCTTTGGGCACATCTGAAGCCTCAGCCACCCAAGGAGTAAGAGACAGTGCCACCAGGTCTTGCTTTCCTCAGAACAAGAAGCCCAGGCTGCCCCATCTCACCACACCGTTGTTCTCCAGTGCTCCCAGTGCCTGTTCCAGCTCATCCCAACCTTCCATCCCGAGGGTTTCACACTGTGCCACCAGCCAAGGCAGTGCCTGGGATCCAGGAGACCATGAGGTGAGTGTTACTCTGCAGGAAGGGGCATTCAGAGCTGGACAGATTTGCCTAAAGCTGAGCAGGAAGTGCCAGGATCAGGTCCCAGGAGCATCCAGCTCCCTCAGGCCGTGTCCCTGCAACAGGTAACTCAGAGCAGTCATACACACTTCTACCTCCTTGCTTTGCTGGGTGCAGACTCGTTCCCGTTCTCACTGTGTGTGTTATCCAGCTCACTCATTTATTGCCATTCATACACTGGATATGCGTGGATCTGAGTTTCTTGCCTGTTTTTCTCTGAATACAATTTACAAGTCTTAATACAAATCAAATATTTGTACATACATCCCAAAAATTTTAATATAAAATATACACCATTTAAAAACATTTTGATGTAGGAAACTTCTTTCTGAAGCCGCGTACCCTGACCCTCGGGTACCTCAGTGATGGAAGGGAGGGGGGCATTGGCAATTGCATCCAAAAGGCTTCATTCATAGGGTTTGGCTCCCTCCAAGTCTAACAGGGGAAGGAGGGTGTAGGGAAACATTTGTGATCACCCAGAGAAGGAAACCATGGAGGTGCCTCCCCTCGAGGAAGGTGTAGGCAGGAGGAAGCACCGGTATCTGCTGCCCGTTATCACCTACAACAGTGGCACAGGGCAAGAGCTAAGGGTTGGAGGGGTTGTTCTGCAGGGAGCAGCTTGGTGGTGGCTCTGACTCCAGCTCAGCCTGGCCATAGAGGAGACTGCATGTGAGCTGAGCCTGGCATAGGGGAGCAGAGCTGATCTCTCAGGTGCCAGAGCAGCAGATCTGGAGCTGGCGTTCAGTGAGGAGCCTGAGAACGATGCAGCTTGTTCTCCCTGAGCCAGGAGCTCTGCAGGCCCCAGAGGAGTGAAGGCAGAGTTCAGCCTGGCTGGCAGAGCTGAGCAGAGCCCCTCTGCAAGCAGGGGTGGGCTGGTGCTGCTGCACTGCAGGAGAGCAGCATGGAAGCATGAGCTGCTGGTTCCCTACCCCACACAGCCCTGCCAGCAGCATGGAACCCAAACATCCTCTCTCCAATCACAGGAACAGGGTCCCAGCCTCTCACCACCCCAACAGCCCCCTCCAGCATCCTCCATGCCCCCAGAGCTCAGAGGCTGGCTGTACCCCCCCTTTGCTCTCCTACCAGACCCCCAGCAGGGAGAAGGGTATTGCTTAGAGACACACAGTGGTGTGCATGCTCTCTGGTTATGCTGAAATGTAAGGAAGACAAAGTAGAGCAGCAGGGCAGAGTTTGGGGGATCCCAGTCAGCTCCCTGCCTGCCAGTGAAGAACCAGCATCCATTCCTTAGCCAAAGGAGAAGTATCAGCTCTAGACTGTAGTGTTAATAGTGGGAGAAAAGCCAGTGCCAGGATCTACCAACTTCAGATAGTTTTTAGCACTAGGAAGAGAGTTAGTATCTCCATGGGCTGAAACAAGTCTGGTAGCCAAATCTGTGTGCTCCTGTGTGGCCCTCAACTGTCAACCCACAATGGCACCAGTGTTCCCAGTATAACTGGGGTCTGGCCGGAGTTCAAGAGCATGTGTGCCATGCTGGGGCAAACCACGGTTTGCAGCAGCCCTCAGGAAGAGGCTTCTCCCAGTGAAATGAAGAACAGACCTCCAGAAAAACAGGGACCAGGTCTGAGGGCAGCAGCATGGAGGGGAGACCTCCAACCCTGTCACAGCAAGATATGATGAGGGATGCTTTCCCTGTGCCTTGAGCAAGCAGGGGATGCAGCACAGTGCCAGAACTGGGAAAGAGGGTGTCCACCAGCTCCATGTTAGATGCTAGATGCAGCTATCCTGCCTGCAAAGACATCACCCTCCCTCCATGGCAGGATAGGCAGGGCTCAGGTTTTCCCTCTAGCTGTGGCCTTCTCAAGCAGGCGTTTTACTGAAGCAAACCAGCACTGTGAATCACAAGAAGGATCATGGTTGTAAACTGCTCTGGGCCTTGCTAAAGCAGGTAAGAGCTGGTTCAACAGGGCTGGAGGAAGCTGAGCCATGCTGACCCCCTGCAGGCCGGCAGAGCTGCCCTCACGGCCTCCCTGTGCACCACATCACTAGGGTCAAATGTGGACAGCTTTTCCTAAAGCCCTGCCTTGAAGCGCCCAGCAGCCGGCATATGGCTACAGCAACAACGCTAGAGGGCAGGCCTGGCACAGCCTGGCCATGCCAGAGGCTGTCACTGCACCCTGCTAGAGACCCTTTCCCCGTGTCCCGTTGGGAATGTGATCTCCAGTCCTCACCTGACACCCAGCACTCCTGGAGCTGCAAGAGAGAGGGCTCCTTTGCCCCAGGACACAGGGAGGTGGGTGAGGACATGCATACACATCATCCAGGAGAGCACACGGAGATGGAAAACCAAAATGGGTTTCAATAGAGATCTCTTGCTTCAGCAGCTCTATGCTGGCCCCAGATTCCCCTGCCAGCTCTGAGAAACCCATCTGCTCACACAGAAGGAAGGAGTCACTTCATTTCAGCATCACCATGCTACTAACAGAAACCTCTAGTAATAAATAAATAAAGGAAGAGCAGCCTTAACAGCCACTGGAGCTTGCAGGCTCCCTTGGGAGTGCCCAAGCAGGCTGGGGAAGGGCTGCATACCTGGGGGATCCTGCTAGCAGTGCCCTGCCTGGGGCCCCTGGAAGG